GCCCTGCCCAATTGGGCTCTGAGAACTGGACCACAAAGAAGCTGCCTAGACCATCACCAAGCCCCTGAAAGCCAGGAGAAAGTGAGGGTAGCCCGGCATTTCTGTAAGTGTCCGATGACACTCACTTTATGGTTCTCTCACTTCCGTCCGGGCCTCCCTCCCTGCTACCATAACCTCTATATTCCTGGAGCCATGAAAAATAGCCTTCTCCTCAAGTTTCCCTTTAAAAATGAACTTGCACAGAAGCTGTTGGTGAAAATGTGGACTTTCCAGACTATGCTCTGGTAACATGGAATACAATGTCCATCCCCGTCGCAATGGGAAACCTGGGCATCCATGGGCCCCTCGTCCAAAGCTCCTTCTCAGTCCCTCATCTTGAGAAGATCACTGGCCCATCCTTCTCCTCACCTTGCCTGCCCCACAGCAGTAAGCCCCAATGCTCTCCATTTCTGCCACCCCAAATTCAGAACAACTGACTACCTGTTCCTATACCATCTCCCCTTTTCAAGACCTTCATGGACAGGACCAGTAGTCATTCTATCTCCCCATAATAAATGCTCACACATGGCAGGCAGATAAGGGGCTATATACTTAAGCTGTTTTCTTATTTCTTATCACACCCAGAAAGCCAAGTTTGGGTTTTAAGGCTGTCAGATTGGATGTGTGTCCCAGAGAGAGAGGGGAGAGAGAGAGTGAGAGAGAGGGAGAGAGAGAGAGAGAGAGAGAGAGAGAGAGAGAGAGAGAGAGAGAGAGAGAGAGAGAGAGAGAGAGAGAGTTTCAAAATCCAACTATTCTGGAGCTTTGTTGATAAGAGCCAGTGATAAACATCATTTAACAAAATTTGCATCTACCATTCACTAAGAATATATATGACTCTGAAAAGTGACACAGAAAGAAAAACTAGTGGGTTTGACCTCGAACAGAGAGAAGTGACAAAAAGTTGGGGTGGGGGAGAAAGCATCTCATTCTTCATTTCCCCTCAAAATTACTGTGTGCTTTTTTGCCCCATCAAAATTCAGTACGAGGAGTTGTTGGAGAGAAACATCCTAGGTCTGCCTCAAGGAGAACTGGCAGGCAGGCAGGCAGGCAGGTGATGGAGAAATGGGGGCTGTGGCAGAGAAGAGCCTGATGGCTTCCCTAGCCTGGATGAAGCAAAACAAAGCAGAAGCCAAGGTTTGCCTTCCTTCTGTGGCAACATTATAACTTGAGCCTATGTCCATGCATTTTAACTCGTCTCCGAGCTGCCTCCTGAACCTGAACGGCGGGACTGCACCCAGAACATATGAGAATCCAAATCAGACTGCCAATCCCTTTCCTTATGTGAGCCTTTTATAGGCCTCATTCCCTTTAGGAAAAAAAAATCTTTAAATTTTTCCTATAAGAAAAAAAAAGTCCTGGTCTCCCGCCTCCTTAGTTTTTACTTCTTCCTTGCTTTTCTCTTCTCAACTCCATCCTCAACCAACTCTTTTCTGACAAAGGCTAAACAGAGTAAATGAACAAATTCTCTTCATAAAGACTGGCTGGGGGGGGGGACAATTAGGAAACCTTACTCAGAAACAGTGTCAAGACAAGAAGGCTCAAGATTTAGCAAGAGTCTTGATCATATTTAAGCTCCTGGGTGTAATCAACTTTGAAGCTATTATATCTCAAGGCTTCTGAATTCTCTGGTCAAATTCCTACTTTTGCTTAAGCAAGTCTTGGGTGGGTTTCTGTTGCTTGTAACCACAGACCTTGACAGAGATGAGCAGCTACCAGAAGAAACACGAATCAAAACAACTGTGGGCTTCCAAGTGTGTTAAATTAACTCTTAAAAACATCACAGAGAAGTGCGGGCTAAGGTGTCTGAGAGCTATTCATACATGACATTAATCATCATCGGTTGTGGTTTTGTAAAAGAAACCTTTTAATGGTCAAAATTAGGGAGAAGAGTTAATAAAACAACACATATCTCAAGCTTCAAACCGCTGGGCCATCCAAACAAAACGTCCACTCTCTTAGGCATCCTTCCAGCTCATGAGAGGAAGGAAACAACCCAGGTAGAAGTGAGACATCTTCTTCTTTTCCATTTTAAATGACAGTGACTAACGGGGAAATCTGTTGTTCCAAGTAGGAGACTTAAGGAGCAAAGGTCTTGAGAAACGTTCCAGCCTGCTGGCTTATTCCGCTAATAACTAGCAGTTAGAGCCCGAATCACATGAGGTTTCTCTTTAGACCCACCAGCACTGGCAGAGGAAGTCCCTAGCTGGGGAGATGGCAGAATTCATTTGTACAAACATTTCTTGGGTGTTGGTGCAGGTTAAAGCAATTTTAGTCTCAGGCCTTCTTAATCGCAATGAAAAAATCAGTAAACTAAAGAGGAAAGAGAGGATCGTTACATCAGGAATTTACTATTAAGGGATACAAAATTAAACCCCATATTACCAAAGTTGAAAGAGACTCATCAGGGGTCATCTACTTCAACCCTACTCTTCTATAGAAATAAGATCCAGAAATGTCCAAAGTATTGGCAAGTATTTGGCCCAAAGCTTTGAAATCAGTGATTAAATAGTCACTGCATAAAAAAATGAATTTAAGGTACCCTTACTCCTTCATACTCCTTCCATCTGCTCTTGTAGATGGTTTTGACTATATAGGTCATTCTTCAAAGGCATTTCCTCCACATCTTTGGAGGCTAAATCTTTCTGCACACAGTGATGATTCTCAAGGTCTAAACTCGGATCCTCAGCTCTAAAAGCCTCCACATGAGACAGCAAAGGTTAATTCATTTTTTAATCTGTGCATGATACTTGCCAATCATAACCCTGCGGTTATGATGAAGTTTCTTATATGTTTTACCTCCCCCGCCCCCCCCCCCCAAGTTGACAAGAATCTCCCAACAGGTCTTTTCCCACTTTACATATTGACCTTCAGGGGCACTTCTATGATCAGGATGTAAATCTCCCAGTACTAAAACTAGAAGAAACCTAACAGAACTCTGTTTATAGACAAGAGGAGCCAAGCCCTGGAGAAGTTCCTGATCCAAAGTCTGGTTAATAACAGAAGTCAGGGACAAGATCCTTCCTCTGTTTCTGTGCTGTTCCTGTGGCAAATTAGTTTGCATAGATGCTACTCTGCCTCGGGACCATAGCCCATGAATGAAAAAAAACTAAAAGAAGGTCATGACTGCTCCTAGGTATAGTGGAGAGGACATATAGAGGAAGAGACATGGGAAAGAGTCCAGAGTGGACATGACCAGAAGACTGAGCTGAGCCACGTGAGGAGAGGGGAGAGCCGAGAGAGGAAACCAGGAGCCAGGAGATCAGGAGGGCAAGAGGCCAAAAGGGCCAGTGTAGCAAAAATGGCTGCCTTATATGGGGAAGAGTGGCTGAGGGGCAGCCCAGCCCAGTCCCTAGGCGGGAGAAGTTTGGGAGGACCGTGTAACAGATAGGGACTGAGGGATGGTAGAACTTTTTTTTTTGCTCTGATATGTTAAAATAGGCACCTCAGTTAGCTGTTCGTCCCAGATTTGAGACCTAACGTACCTGAAATGAAATGCTTGACTATGGTGTCAATCTTAATTTCTATAATCCAAATATTTCCCATTGAGATCTGCGGTGAAATGGCAAATCCATCCCATTGTGAGTTCAATCAGGCAAAAGTCCACCAAAAATAAATAAATAAATAAAAAACACCTCAATCAAGTGGCAAAGGTTTAATCACAAAATAAATCCTGCAAATAACTTAGAGGAAGAGAAATAAGTGGGCAATACTGGGGAGTAGCTGGCTTGTCAAGCAGAAGGAGAGAGGGTATCCAGTAGGAAAGAGACCAAAGAACACCATGCTGAAATCTGGGTGTTTTGGGAAACCACCCAGCCAGCAAGGTAAGAATTTCTCAGAATCCAATAAAATCTGACTGAGAATCTGCAGCTTCAGGCTAGAAATATCGAAGCCACTGACACTCTGGAGGAATCCTGGCAAAAGTTGTAAAGAAGAGAAACTCGGTATGCCTCACTCATCCGCTCCACATACACAAGCGGGTGTTGCACAGGGTGAAGGCCCCGCCAGGTGAACCTGCTGTGGGGAACCATGCCTAGCTAGAGAAGTACTTACTCGTCCTTGTGATAAAGACTATGAACAAAGTGACAGGAAGCAGGGACAGTGTGGCAGGCAAGACCTGGGAGTTTGGAAAAACTAGGAAATGGGACTTCTGAGCCCACAAGTGAGGGGAGGGAAGCCCCCAGCATGAGCTGACTGGGGTGCAGGAGGGTGACTCAGGGTAGCAAACCAGGGCTGGCAGCAAGGCTAGAAGAAAGGACCAGCCTGGAGGTCAGAAAAGGCTCAGAGAACATCAAAAGGACCAACTCTAGATGCTTTGCTGAGAGTAGCTTGGAGTCCGGCAAACAACCAAGGAAGGCAAATGCTGCTGCCCCTGGAGGCAGTGAGTCAAGTTGGGAAGGTGCGGTCCTTCTCTAAGCATTTCAGTAAGCCTCTGGAAAATAGGAGCCACGGTTATTGTCAAGCCCAACACACTTGGCCAGACGCTGCTCTCGTGCTAAGAACTACTCTAGAGATGACTTGCCACTGCTTCTTGGCAACACAGTGTGGGCATCCCCTGCCTGCGCCTGGGGACAGCATGGCTCAAATACACAGAAGCAGCCTTGTCGTCAGAGGCAGCAGAAGAGCATAACTGGCCCTCTGAGGCCAGACCCTTCATCAACCCCTCCCTGCCTCTCCCCAGTGCTCTCTCCCTTTGGGCCATGCTCATCCTGTCAGCAGCACTTCTTCTCAGGACCTGATCCCAAACTCATGGATTGACACTGTAAGAGCATAAAAAGGCATGTGCCTCTTAACACCTTGGCAAGTGTCATGACCCTCCCACAGCCCCTTCCAGAGTCCTAGTCGCTGGGACCATTCCCAGCTGTTGCATGGAACTACCTTTCCCAACTGCCTCAGGTTCTAACCGCTGCCCATCAACTGCCCCCAAGCAACTGCCGCCCAGTGCCACTGTGGGGCCCCACACCACATAGTGTCACATGCCTCCTCCCCTCCTCAGTGTTTCTTGTGGTCACTTCAGTACTCATTCAAGAACTAGACACAGTGAGGCCTCCAACCCTGAACAAACCGCTAACTCAGGGTCTTATTAAGATATAAAGTTGACAGTGATCCCACAGTCCCTACCTGTCACAGGGTCCTCCTACCTGGTAAACCAGCCCCCTACCCCAAACTTTTCCAGTCCGAGCACTGGGCTGGGCTTCTCCTTTTTCTGCTCCTCTGGCCCCTATATAACTCAGCCATTTTGGCTACACCAGTCTCTTGGTTCATCTGTCTTGGTCAGCTGCTCCTCTCTTACCCTCCCTCTCTTCTCTCCTCAAATGCCCTGGCTTTCAATCTAGCCATGTCCACTCTGGACCCTTACAGATGTCTCTGCCTCTGCCTGTTTTCTTCCCTTGTATCTATAATAAAGACCCTCAACCCCTCAGGACATGTCATATCCTCCTTTTAATTTCTTTTTCATTAAAGCACTAATTCCTATTTTCTCAATAGAGCTGGGGGCTAGTGATCATTAAACTTAGGTATCTCGTGCTTTCTCAACACGTAGGCCTTTGATAAGGACATTTGTCTAAAGTGGCTAGACCAAGTATACACACGGACTTTGGACTCCCATCCAACAATGTGAGATGCACTCTCACCCTGAACTCTTGGGGAAGGGTCTAGGCCCTGCCCTATATGAAATGACAGACTATGGACACCCCCATGGAGGGCCTCACCCTCCCTGGGGGAATGAGGGGATAACGGGGGGGGGGTTGGGGGAGGGCACGGGAGGAGGGGAGGGAAAGGGAGAGGGACCTGGAACTGACTTGTGAAGCAACCTTGTTTCTTATCTAAATTTAAACTGAAAAAATAAATAAATAAATAAATAAATAAATAAATAAAGTGGCTAGAGACCGAACAATATCTATTTCTTAAAAAAAAAAAAAAAAACCTCATCAGCTCATGGGACCACTCACAAGAAAGTCTAGTCCTGAGCCTATCTGACCCCTCCTCCTCAACACTAAAATGCCCTGAATCCAGAAATCTACCACTTCAAATTTTGCATAGTCAGAACTGAGCTGCTGCAGTCAAGTCCTATCCCTGACACTACCAGAAAACATGCTTGTTCTTCTCCTGGCCTGGGTCCTTATGTTAAGCTATAGATTATTTCGATGACATCATTGCAGATTTTTTTTCCTTTGCAACCAAATTTCTTGAAAGTTTTGCCCCCTAGCTTCTTCCTTCTCAGCCCCCCTCTGGCCACTCTTTAGTCCATGTCATTCTAGTGTCTATAGTCACTGTGTGGCCCAAATCAAACACTGTGCAGGACAACAGTGAACCGCTGTTGTCAAAAGTCCTAACAGTTTTACTGTCCAACACTCAGGACATGTCCCAGGGCTGTGCATTCTGTCATAGCATTGTGTCTTACAACTCTATTTGAGCTCCTGGCATTTGCAAGATCCATTAAGGCACAATGTGAGTCTAGAGAAAGATTTAGACACATCCTCTGGCAAACATCTAATGTCTGAAGGAGACAAAACTAACTCTTCTCCAGGTGGACAGCAGAGGCCTCGGGCTAAACGAAGTCAAGGAAAAGGATGGATAAGAAGTACTCAAGGGAAAAAAATAGAAAAGACTAAAGGGATGGCTCATGTTACCAAGATTGGGGTCTTGGGGCCTATACTAGAAAACTACTTCCAGGCCAAGACCACAGGTAAGCAGCTCCAGCACTCTCCATGTCTTATCTCTATCCCTCTGTGCAGCCATTTCTTTTTCTGTCTGCAAAGTGATCCCCATTCTCCTGACTACCCTATTGCCTGCATCTCACACTCATACCCAGTTCATCAGGGTGGTCCTCCAGCACACCGGGCCAACCAGAGCATAGCCCTTTCAAGATGGGTACTGTAGCCCCTGATCCAGCAGCCAGGGCACAGGGTTCCAACTGCAGAGGAAAATGAGACTATTACTACCCTGTATAGGTTTGGAACTGGTCCTCATTGTTTATTCACGAAGCCCTCTGTCCCATCTCTGCACTGGTAGAAAGATCCTACCCACTTAATCCCTCTTGTTTCCAGGTCATTTTTGCTCAGAGGTCCTCTTGGGAAACACCAGCACAGAAATGTTCTAAGTACCTGCCCTGTTTGCAGGGTACCCACCCCCACCCCTCCCCCACAACAGTTTCCTCCTATTTTCCCTCCTCAACCTTGAAGATCTATCTACTCGGCACAGGAAGTGGCATGGGTATGGTGGAAGCTCTCTCCATTCTTTCTGGATCCTTCTCAGCTTTCTTAAAATCTTCTCCAACCTCCTCTTTCTTGGGGATACCATGTCTAAAATACCTTCAATTCTGGATGTGAGGGTGATCTGGCTGTGACATCTGTCATCCCATTGATTGCCAGGGTTGATTCAACTTATCTGGCTGGCTAGGCGGGTGTCCCCTTCCTCCCTCACCGCTCCATGTGCGTCCTTCCTGAAGCTGCACACTCGGTCAAACAGGACAACCTTCCCCAAATAGAGGAGGACCGATCTTCAGTCAAGGGTATATGAGTAGCTGTGCTCCCCTGCTAGAACCTCCAAACAAGCTCTCAAGACCTTCTACTCATTCACTTACTTAGCTAGATACTACAAGCACAGAGACTTGGGAAAACTAAACTATTTCCACAACATTGGATTCCGCTTCCTGGCTGCTAGCCCTTCGCTATGTTTGAAGCTACTTTGCTTCATGGGGGGAGGAAAGAGAAAGGGGTAATGATACAATCATATTACAATCTCAAAAACTGAAATGATTTTTTTAAAGTAATCCTCCCTCTGTCCCCATAAAAACAGTCTTCACCCTTGACACCTCTAGCCTTCTAAATTTGACTCATGGCCCCAGGCCTTAGAAGCCAGAGACTTTGGGCTCCAGAAACACACTTACCAGCAGCCTGGCACTGTGCCTCCAGTGAAATTTTCTGCTTTTAAGTGACAGCAATGGCAACAGTCAGCAGCAGTTAGTGCCAGCTAGCATTAGGGCCTTCAAGCACCTCCTGTTGAGATGCTCAACTCCTACCTTCCAGTGACCAGGAAATTTTAGCTGTCAAGCGGGTCTTGAGTGTCTGGGCTCTCAGCCCCAGGGTGGGCGGGCATCTCCAGGGAAAGCCTCCATCTCTCACTCTTCACAGCCTTCCTCCTTCCGGCCTTGGCTTTTCCCCCTCTGCCCGTGCCCTTTTTCATCTCACATGCCACTGTGCCAGAGGGACTAGTGCTTGCTCCCGTAAGCCTTCAGCTGGCTTCTTGCCACAGCTGGATGTTGCCACCGTTGCTCCCAGTTACACTGGCTATACCTATGATAGGTGAGAGAGAGAGAGAAAGAGAGAGAGAGAGAGAGAGAGAGAGAGAGAGAGAGTCCTTTTTATTAGGTCTCATGTTGCAACACCATGGGGGCAACATGAAAACTAGCTGGACCATCTATTTATATAGCCCAGAGAAGGTCACAGTAAGGGGGTGTCACGTAAATGAAGAATTGCATTTGCATCGATGACAGCACAACCTCCAGTTTCACGGCACTAGCCTCTTACTGCTTCCCCTCTTGTCTTAAAAGAGCTTCCAGATCATCTAAACAGTCACCACAGCCTATCTTGCTGGAGTTCTGTCTTCCAAAGCTGGCACCGGTGGTCTGCAGTGGTACTGACTGGAGCAAGCCTTCCGAAGCAGGAGTCATGGCTTCACGTGCCATCATCTGTTCCCTTATCATGGGTCACAGGGTTTCAAGTGTATATAACAGGCTGACTGTTTAAAGCTTCCCAGCTACAGGAAGCTGGGCTTAAGGGAAAGACCCTACTCACTGCTATCCAAAGGTCTCTCCTACCCACCCTTGGGAGGTGTCTTAGTTGGGGTTTCTATTGTTGCAACTGGAAGAAATGCAATGACCAAAAAGCAAGTTGGGGAGGACCCTGAAGGAATGCATGCAGGACAGGGACTCAAACAGGGCAGGATCCTGGAGGCAGGAGCTGACACACAGACCACAGAGAGGCGCTGCTTACTGATTGATTCCCCTGACTTGCTCAGCCTGCCTTCTTACAGAACTCAGGACCACCAGCCCAGGGCCCACCATGGGTTGGGCCCTCCCCCATTGATCATTAATTGAGAAAACCCCTTACAGCTGGATCTCAAGGAGGCATGTCCTCAGCTGAAGTTCCTTCCTCTAAAGACTCCAGCTGGTGTCAAGTTGACACAAAACTAGCAGTACAGGAGTTCGACTCAGAAAATTCCACAAAAAGAAAAAAACTAACATTTTCAATAGCGTTTAACAAGGCTCCACCCTGCCCCAGCACCGTGGGTCTCTGGATCTCTCTCAGCTCCAGCTAGTGGTAAACTAATCGCCCCTGCAACCTGGCAAGTAGTTCTGCCTGGTACTTCAAGGTAAGCAGTCAGGGTAGCAAACTTGCCATAGGAGGCGGTATTTACGGTAATGGGAGCTGACTGCGCGGCGTCATTTACGGTAATGGGGCCGGGCTGTCCAAGGCCGGGCGGCTGGGTCGGCTTTGCCAGCTCGAGGCGCTCTCAGGTGAGAGCACCCGCCCAGGACGTGCAGGCAGTGCACAATGTCCCCTCCGGGCAGTGAGGGACCGTGGCCCTCGGGCCGGACCCACCGCAGCCACGCCCCGCAGCTGGCATCCCAGGGTCCGAGTACAGCACAGCTTCGCGCATCGGCGGGAGCCGCGGTCTGACCGGGGAACCTCCCCGCTCCCCGCGTCCGGATGGGCCTGTGCTACAGCCTGCGACCGCTGCTCTTCGGGAGCTCGGGGGACACCCCTTGCGCCACCTCGGACCCCCACGAGGAGGACGCGCAGCTCAGCACCTCTCCAGCCCCGGTCCCGGTCCGGGTCCCGGGCCTGGTCCCTGTCCCCGTCCCGACTAGGACCCTGCTCTGGAAAGGCGATGGCCGGAACTCTGCGGGCTCGCGGCCGGCAGTGGAGCTGCAGAGCCGGCGGCGACAGGAGCAGCTGCGCGCCGTGGAGGAGCGGGAAGCAGCTAAGGAAGCGAGGAAAGTGAGCCGCGGCATCGACCGCATGCTGCGCGAGCAGAAGCGCGACCTGCAGCAGACGCACCGGCTCCTGCTGCTGGGTAAGTGTGCACCTTGAGCACCACCGGAGCTGGGGTTCGGGCGAGACCCTGCCTCGGGGAGTGTCAGGTGTGGACACTGCAAACAGAATGACTTTCACCCTGACATTTAAACGACTTTGTCGCTCCTGGGTGATTTCGCTCTATCCCTTTCCTTGTGACCCGGGGCCAGTGGCTCACCAATTACTAATTAATGAGCCTCTCTGGGAAATTTCCGCCCCCACCCACCCCGGTCCATTGATTTCCGCAGCGTGAACTCCACAGGGACATCTCATGCCACAGTCCAGGAAGCTTAATTTGTTCTAAGAACACCAATAAAAGGAGATTTAGAAAGCCTTTTAGCTAGACCACAAAGCTTTTGTCGTAAACAATCTTAAGCAGAGCTGGGATACATGCAGGCTGTTGAGAAACAGCATCGTTGCCCATGTTGGAGAAGCCGTACCGGGGCTGTGGCTCTGTTTGCTCCTCTGAGAGCCAGCAGCCTAAGAGTGGCAGGTCCTGTCTGTTCCCACCCTGTGCCCCGTCCCCACTACCCACCCCCAGCCTCGATATCCCCTCACCAATTGTAATAAAGTGGACATAAACCTGCATTTGGAAGCATTTGGAAGTTCGCTGGTATTTTTCAGAGTTGACTTTTAGCAAGCATAGGTGTGCTCTTATTAGTTAACAACCTGAAAACATTTTCTCTTTTCACTGCCAAATGTGCAGTGAAAGGACAAGTAAGTCATGAATCCCTGCATGTCTCTGTGCATGGTGTATCTGCACACGCAGAGCCCAGAGGAGGACATTGGGGGTCTGCTCTATCACCCTCCTCCTTGAGCCTCTGAGACAAAGTCTCTCGTTGAACCTGGACCTGGATTTGGAGCCACCAAGCCTTGGGGTTGCAGGGTTTCACTGACGCTGGGATCCAAACTCAGATCCTCATGCATCAGCATCAAGAGCCATCTCCATCCCCTACCTCATACAGTTGTTTTACAATTTTATTACGTTTATTTATTTGTGTGTGCTGACACGTGCATGTGGAGGTCAGAGGACAACTTACGCCAGTCTCTTCTCTCCCACCAACTTGTGGGTCCCAGCAATGGAACTTACTTAGGTTCTGAGATTTGGCAAGTACTGCCGCTGAATCATGAGTTCTTAATACTACTTGTCGCCTTTTGGATTTTTCAGGGGGGGAACTAAGATGTCAGAATCTGATCCAACCTAGTGAGCTACATCAGTAGTAACGGCTGGTGCCTGTGCTCAGCTGTGTGTAGGGACCAGGCTATGCCATGAAAAGTAAAACCGGTTTACTGCAGTCTCTTAAAACCTGGAGAACAAATATTGAGTTTAAACAGACTCACCCACTTTAAAAATGAATAATTTAAAACAAAACTAGTACAAAGTACAAAATATAAACATGAGACTCCTACTTTTTGTTTAGGCGACACATTTCCAAACGTCTATGGATAATGGAAATCATATGCAGAACCATCTACACACTGTGATTTGCCCATGTATACATATCTGTGATGAAGTTTGAAGGAGACTAACAACAACTAATAGAATACTTCATGAGGGATAGCCTGTAATGTCATGTGAATGTGGTTTCTCTCCAAAACTTACTGTGCTGTACCAGCCCTCCTGCTGATGCTGTGAGGTGATAAGGTGTCTGGGTGATGAAATAAAGGTAAATGACACCAGAGTTAGGTGTGTCTGGGATACTGGGGCATCACGTGTGTTGCCTGTCCCCACAAAGGTGCGTAATCAGACACATGAATGCTTATGTTGCACTTTGTCCAGAGGACCAGTGACCTGACAGGGCCACTGGCAGGTCATCACCTGAAGAAACTGCCTACACATCTCAACCCAGTCAGTGGTTGTTATAAGAGAGGAAAACTTTTTCCTAGGTGGTCTTTACAGTTTTGAAATTGCTATGATAAGCATGCCTCCCTCATCATCGCCCTTTCCACTTGTCTTTCATTATAATCATTATGAACATCTGGGCTCAGGCACTTCTTAAACCCTTTGATCCAGTTAATGTCTGCTAGTGTTCACTCGTTAGAGCAAACAAGTTCCTTCCTACGTTGCAAAATACAGAAAATTCCCTAACCTATCCTCACACCCCCTATCAGTACTATTACAAGAGTTACTTGAAAACCCCAGTGTGTAGTAATTTGTTTTTTCTCTTTTGGGGGGCCTGCCACTCAGCTCCCACATGAATCACACGGTCTTATTATAACTTGTGAATGTCTGGCCTTATCTTGGCTTGTTTCTACCCAGCTTTTCTTAAATCATCCCATCTGCCTTTTGCCTCTGGACTTTTCCTGTTCTCTTCTGAAAATCTTACTCCTGAGATTGCTGTGTAGCTGCATGTGAGGTGGCTGGCCCCTGGTATCTTCCTCTCCTTATTCTCTTGCTCCTCTTACCTTTTTTCTTCTTCTATTTATAATCTCTGCCTGCCAGCCCCACCTATTCTTGCTCCAGCCTTGCTATTGGCCGTTCAGCTCTTTATTAGACCATCAGGTGTTTTGGACAAGCAAAGAATCACAGCTTCACATAGTTAAGCAAATGCAGCATAAGCAAAAGTAGCAAACCTTAAAATAATCTATCACAGCGGTGGGCCAAAACTAAATAGCTGACCAACTTAGTAACATCTACAGTGCGGACACTCTGTATAAAGGGATGATTTGCCTCCTAGGCAGGAGGGAGTGGTCCATACAAGATTTTATTGTGTTAATAAGAAGGGCCATTGAAAACTTGTAAGTAGTTTCTGAAATCCTTCATTTAATACTTCCTTTTAAAAAAAGATTTATTTATCCATTTATTTCATGCATATGAGTGCTCTATCATTTCATGAACACCAGAAGAAGGAATCTGATCCCATTACAGATGTTGTGACCCACCGTGTGGTTGCTGGGAATTGAACTCAGAACCTCTAGAAGAGCAGTCTAAGTGCTCTTAACCACCAAGCCATCTCTCCAGCCCTTATTTGATATTTTCTAACCACTGTTAACTGAGGGTAGTTTAAACTGTAGGCAAACACCAAACTGCAGATAGAGTTAACTACCATATGCCAAAACCAAATACAACAGTTGCCTCAAAAACAGGAGAGCAAAAGGCTTCAGACTACTATTCTCTGGTGCCAACTTCTAGAATATGACAAGGCAAATGTTTCTAGGGGCTGGGGATACAAAAATTACGTTTTTAGAATTTCATGCCTATTTTGAATCATAGTTGGGGACATGGGCATTAAATACATTTTTGAAAGGCAAAATAAATTTCAGTTGCCTATAATGAATTTTGAAAGACTATCCTCTTTCAAGACATTGTCTCATAGCCTAATACAGTTTGCTAATTGCCTCATGTCTAAAATAACAAGAGCTCAATGTCCATGCATACTTTCAACTTATTTAATGTATGGAATTTACAAGTTCAAAAGGGGGAGAATTATGGTCTCAAGAAATAGGTTGATAAAGTAAGATCATGAGTTATGGTTAACAAGGTTTTTTTCTTATTTATATGGTGCTTTATCTGTGTGTATGTCTGTGCACCATGTGCATCCATTACCCTTGGAGGCAAGAAGATGGATGGCATCAGATACTTTGGGACTGGAATTGCAAACAGCTATGAGTTCCCATGTTGGGAGTCAAACTCAGGTCCACTGGAGGAACACCAGATTATCCTAACCACTGAGCAATCTCTCCAGCCCCTACCATAAGGTTTTCCAGTGATTGACTAGTCAAATATAACTCCTAAAAATAATAGAAGTGGGGCTTAGTATTTGCAAGGCTTTGTGTTCAGTCCCAGAAGCACCACCATCAGAAACATGGGAAGCAGAAAATGCTTGATTTGTGATAAATTATGAAGGATGGCTCTGTAAAAGAGAAGTGGGAGATGGTCTCTGGAGAAGGCTCTGGTGGGCTCTAAGGCATAAATTTCTCTAGCACATTTTTTGTGGTTATTCTCTTTAAAGACTACCTCATAGCCTAATATGGTCTTTATGTCAGCACCTAACTGAGTGGCATTAGTCCCATGCCTCACTTTGTGGAGTACATTGCATCTTCCACCCAATATTATCAACAGCAAAACCTGGGTCTAACATTAGTTCAATGGTAGCAGGCACTGGCCCAGGGTCCCCAGCACCAACCTTGAAAAACTGGCAAATCACAATAATTTTTTAAAAACTGTTACATCAGGCTGAAATGGTTTATACATTTTTGGTAGATTTGAGTTACATACATAAAGGTTGCTGGCATTTGTTACAATTTAGAATGGACTTGACTAGAAGTCTTGGCTCAGACTTGTAGGCCCTTGGTCTGAGATGTCTGCTTCTTTGCTCCTGTGTTTGCTAGAGAGCTTTTGTTTTTGCTTGCCCACTGCTTTATTGATCCTAGACAGGTATATTGAAAGCCCAGCATTGGGGACATGGGCCACAGACTCAGGGAAGCCCTGCTTGCTCCAGTGCCCCTCCGTCCCAGCCCATTGTGTTTAAGATGCTCTCCTCCCCACCCACTATAAGTACTCAGGCCAGGGTGTCATCCCAAGGTCCAGTTCTGTCGTAAGGTTGATCAGACTCCTTGACTCTCTTCCATATAGTAAGGTTCCCCAGCAACAGCACAAACATCTAAGCATCCTTGGGACAGTGAGGACCTCTTGATTGTTGGGTGTGGCCCTGTTTTACTCTTAGGGGGCACATTTTTTCAGGAATACACGGTATTACTGGATATGAATGCCATGGAGTCAAATTTGAGCAGCATGGTAGGAACTGGAAGGTGTAGAGAAGGGAACGGTGACTGGATGTGGAGCACAGGCAGTGGGAAGGGACCTGAGATGACTGAGCTTTGTAAGCAGGGAGTCTGTGGTGGAGATGCTGATGGAGCTGTTTTCTAGTGTGGGATCCTGGTCTTGTAGGCAGCATCCTTCATATGGTGTTTGTTATTAAAACCTTTTCTCTGTGCGTGAGTGGCTTTCTCCTGTCTCCCCTTCTTACAAAGAGACTCTTGCCTTATGACCCCATTTTA